GAGACAAATCAACCCCCTGCACCTGTACAGATACCCCCACAGAGACAAAATCAGTCCCTGTACGTGTACAAAAATGTCACATACACATACCCACAGAAAAACCAGTCCTGAACCCCTGTACACACACACACTCTCTCATCTGCCCACCATACACCTATATGGGAATTACCATATTCACAAAAATTCCCACTCTCACTCCCAGTATGGTTGCCAGTTTTCCAATTTTTTTAAAACCGGACACTACAGCCCCCTCCCAGTCACTTGCTCCCCCCTCCCATGGGACTCACCTGCCACCTGCAGAGCTGGGCTGGGAGGAGCTGTCGCGGTGCCTGCCTGCTTGCCCAATTGGGGCATGGCAGGGCAGGGGGCAATCGGGGGGCTAGCAGAGTGGGGTTTGGTCCCTGGAGCAAGAGTCAGGGGGCACAGCAAGGCGGGGGGGGGGGGTTGGTCACCGGAGCGAGGGGCCATAGAGAGCCGGGCCCCGGCTGAGAAGGCGGTACCTACCTCCTCTCTGCTGGAGCTGGGAGCCAGTTTCTAAGCTTCTCTCCAGTCCATCAGCTGAGCTCCTCCAGCAGCAGCTGCTCTTCCCACCCTCCCGGCAGCAGAGGCTGGTCACTGTGGGAACCAGACTTTTGGTGTCTGGTCAGTCGTACGAACCAGACACTGCACAGGTCCCCTTTTGACCGGACTTTTCAGTCGAAAACCAGACACCTGGCAACCATAATTCCCACATAGCTGCCCCCGCCCACAGACACCCCCATTTTTCACACCTGCATCCTCATCCTCCCAGCACAATCGTACTCACACACAGACTGATCCTTTGACATTGGTTCACAGAGTCCTAAATCTTTATGTTTATTCATGATAAGCTGGAGGAGGGCGGTGGAAATTACAGCTTGCAGAAAGCCCTGCCCCCAGCCCATGGCGTCTTGGTCTTCTTCAGTCATCCACCAGGGCACAATACCACCATGAAACCCTGGGAGCTAGAGGTGGGAAAGGGTGTGTCTCATACTCTGCCCCACTTTCCTAAACCAGCCCTATGAGACCAGTCTGCAGGTGGGACATGAGAACCCTTTAAAGAACCAGGATATTCCATGCGGTTGAGATAGTATCAGGTCACACAGGAGGTGGGGAGCTGTCCCCAAGAAACACTAGAGCAGCTGGAGGTGTGGGGAGGACAGCCCTAGGGGCGGGCTGTATGTGTTTGTTGGGGGGGGGGTGCGGAATTGTCCCCATGATCCTGCCCCAGAGTGTCTGGTTCCCATGGACACTGGGACAGCTTGGGCACCTGACAAGGGCACTAGAGTAATTAGCAACCACTCGTAATACTCTATGTCGGTTGTAGGGGGATTCAGTGCTGGACTCCTCTCTGCAGCTCCGCACCCCCCTCTGCCCTTATCCAGTCCCCCTTCCGAGCCCAACCCAGATACTGTCGCACTGCCCCTCCCACGGGGATTGCTGAAGTCACAGGAGGTGCTCTGCCCTTCCAGACACTCCTCGAGCTCGCCCCATCTCCAAATGGAGCCTTGGACCTGGCTGCCTCGCAGTCCGCAACCATCCCCCTCCCCCTGGATACAGACTGGAGTGTCCAGGAGAAAGAGGGACAGAGCCTCCCCTTTCCATTCACTACAAATAACTGATGTGCAGTGCATTGGGTTTATCACAGCTCCCGGGCTCCTCCGGGAGCGGCTTCTGCTCACTGCCTCCTGCTGCTCCACTGGTCAGGGGACACTCCTGTCTGCCATTGCCATTCTGGGCAATCTTGCTGACCCCGCTGTCCTCCGCTTCCTCCTCCTCCTCTTCCTCTTCCTCCTCTTCAGTCTTCTCTGGGGGACGGGCCACCACCTCCTGGCTCTGCACCCGGCGGGACGGCCTCAGGATGGCCCTGCGGAAACCCTGCTTGAACCGGTAGGAGAGGAAGCCATAGATGATGGGGTTGGCGCAGCTGTTGGCGTAGGGGAGCACCACGACGAGGAAGTAGACCCCGAAGAGAGACGGCTCCTCGGGCAATGGGCAGACCACGTTGATGATGTTGAGCACGTAGAAGGGAAGCCAGCAGAGCACGAAGACGGCCACCACGGCCACCACCATGCGAGTGACCCTGCGCTCTGACCGCTTGCGCTTGGACGAAAGGGCCCGCACCCTCCGGCCGGAAGAGCGGACCTTGACAACGATGAGCAGGTAGCAGAGGCAGATCACCAGCAGTGGCCCAAAGAAGCCCAGCGCGGCCGTGTAGATGATAAAGCCAGCTCTCCACATGGAGGCTGGCTCAGGCCACTGGATGTGGCAGGTGCTCATCCCCAAGGGGACGTTCGAGAACACCACCACTGGCAGCACCACCACTGACGACAGCACCCACACCGTGGCGCTAACGGCCTTGGCCACGCGGGCCGTCCGCCACTTTGACGATTTCCCTGGGTGCACCACGGCCAGGTAGCGGTCGACGCTCATCACAGTCAGGCAGAAGATGCTGGTGAACTGGTTTATGGCATCCACGGCCATCACCAGGCGGCACATGAAGGAGCCGAAGGGCCAGTAGGAGAGTGCGTTCTGTGCAGCCAGGAAGGGCAGCCCCAGCATGAACAGCTCATCCGCCAGCGCCAGGTTGAGGATATAGACATTGGTCACCGATTCGCTCACCGAGTGGCGCAGGACCACGTAGATGACCAGGGAGTTCCCAACCAGCCCAACCACGCAGACAATGAGGTAGACCAGCGGGATGAGGACTCCGCTGACATCCATGCCCGGGCTGGCAGTTGTGGATAGGTTCCCCAGGATGGAACTTGCCCAGCTGGTGGAGATGTTCCCCTCCGAAGCCACAGGAGTGGGGGAGGTGAAAGCAGGAGAGTCCATGGCAAAGGAAGGATGGGGCGATCTCCCACTGGATCAGCTGGAGAGTTGGAGGCAGGAGGAGAGGAAGAAGAAAGGCATTTACACTTTAAAAGTCAGAGCCGAACAAGCCACGTGTCAAATAGCAGGCATAACGACATGTGGGCACAGACACAGGTGGGAAGGAGAGGGGGGTTCAGATGCCGGAGTCTCTGGAGCATATGGGAGAATGTCAGATGTGACCAGCTGTTTAAGAACCCACCATTGGGTGTTTGAGACAAGCAGGAAAATGGCCTGATACAGCCAAGGGACTTCCCAGGGGAAAGAGCCCAAGGGAGCAATCACAGGCCTCCATTTCCTATTGAAAATGGCTCCGGGGCTGGTGAAGTTAATTTCAGGGGCCCTGATTCTCATGTATGCTGAAGCCTCTTTACATTGGACCGGATCCTGCTGTAAGTCACCAGGACATTATTGTCCACCCCCCTCCCCCCGCCCACTACTGAGGCTGAAAAATCCTCTTGAAGTCCAGAGCAAATGTCAGAAGCTTGGCTTAGTGCCCTGGAAGAAGGAGAGGCAGGTTCTGCATCATCCCTGCACATGAATAAAGGAGGAGATGGAGTATTTATAACATTCCCACTGGAGGCAGATGGAGTTATACATCCAGCTACCACCCGCTGTCACTCTCTCTGCACCCCAGCAGCAGCTCTCAGCCTTCTCGAATCCAGGTTGCTAATGGAAGGGGCAGTCCCTGCCTCACCACTCCACAGCACCAAAACAAACTTCAAGCCCTCTTAATCTTTTGATGCCCAACTGCCCGTCACATCAGGCTTTGGCAAGGAAACGCTCAGAGTGAACCCTGTACAAACAGGCAGCTTGTGTGTGTGCCAGCTCTCCACTGACAATGGCAGAGATTGAACATGGGACGGGAGGGACCTGGTTCTTGTCCGCTGCCTCTTTGGGGTGGGGCTGGGGCCATGTGGGAGCCGCAGCTCAGCACAGGGCAAAACGTGGAGACACAGCCTCTTGCCCCAAGCTATGCCGGGGGAGTCTATGGTGGCAAGTCGGCGATGCTCTTGGATTATCAGGGGTCTGGAAGAGCCCCTCTGAGATTTCAAATGGCAGCCCCATGCCTTTGTCACCCCTTGGTATATTGATCCCACTGCTTGATTAGCTCCTCAAATAGCCATATTGTAAGTGGGGAGGACTTGCGTGGAAGGGGATGGATGCTTAGCCCCGGGAATAGACGGCACCTTCCCCACCCCAGTCTCACCTGAGGGTTTGGGCCAGGAGACCCCTCAATGTTTCAAAGCTTATCCCAGCTTTTCCCTAGTAACGAGGGCTCAGAATCTCAAAGGACACGATTTCCAGTCCTACCCACCTCCAGCCGCTCAGAAATATGCTGAGAACTATTTTGCCTCATGGTGTTTTTCAAACCGTACAAAACCAGGGCAGGCAAAGATTTGATATTAAAAATCTAAAAAAAACCCCAAACATTAATCAAACTTCTGGAAGCCTCAGGCAAAGTCTGAGGTTTGGGCTGGTTCTTATAATATCGGAACGTGTTGTGAGGAACCCCACAGAGATACCTCCCATGTTTCACACCTTCTACTTGTGCCCACATTTCAGTGGGTCCCCTCTGCCCTGGTTCTTTACCGAACACAGCTAGGACATTGTTACGTTATCCTTGTTATCTGTGTTGAATGAGCTTCTGGTTTATGACGGGGGGAGGAGTGGAAATGCCCAGAGAGGGAGCTGAACTGTTTAGGGAAGTCCGAGGGGGGTGTAAATGGGATGAAATTGAACACTGGGAAGCTCAGGCTGAATATCAGGAAAGGTTTCCTGCCAGTGAAGTCCATTGGGCTGTGGAATAACCTTTGCAAGGGAAGCCCCATCACTTGGGCCACTTAATACGAGGCAGGCAAAGCCCTGAAAATACACTGTAAGGAACCGCCCTGCACTGGCCAGGAAAGATGGACTGAATAGAAAGCGTATCCTGCATCTTGGCAGGGGGTTAGACTAGATGACCCCTGCGGTCCCTTCTAACCCTCTGGTTCTATGATTCGAGCCTTTCCAATTTCTAACCTTTATGATTCTTTGAGCTCTTCTCCAAGCTTTTCCAGAGCCTTCTCAGTGCTGTACATAGGTGTTAATTTTTTCAGAGGAGTGGCAGGCACGGGGGCCAGGTACAGTGACAGAGGGTATGTCCCCACTGCACGGTAAAGCCCAGGTCTGTGGGACCCGGGCTTGGGGACTCAGTGTTTCCAAGCCCACACTTAAGCATCCACACTGCATTGTAAGCCTGGGTTTACAATTGCTGGCCCCAAGTCTCACAGCCGTGCTAACACGTCCATACTGTGCTTCGCAGATCTTCTGACTCAGGTCTGTGACTTGACCTGCCTCCCCACTGCAAAATGACAGGGCTTGGACCTGAGTCTCAGCTGGACCCAGGCTCTGACCCACCCAGGTCCTGAATGCTTGCTGACCCGAGGCAGGCTGATTTGTGTGGGGACAGAAGGGGGCTTGGGCTCAAACCTGAGTCAGTGCCCAGACATAGTGTGCCATGTAGACATACCTAGAGAATAGGAATAGGCTGATGGCAGGAGGTAAGGAGTGGTGAAATCTAAGTCCCATAAAGAGCGGCAGGTAGAGGCAAGGGATCTCAGTGAGTGCTCTGACTGCAGGCATGGGGCCTCATGGGAGTATTGGTGCAGTTGGACCTCTGGGAGAGGGGTGCAGATGTGGTGGACCCAATGGGGTTGAGGAAACTATTGGGAGATGCCTGGGGTATAGGATCAAGAACCTGGCTACTTAGCTTATAAGCTCTTTGGGGCCGGGACTTTTTGTATTGGGGCACCTGATGGGGCCTCTAGGTGCTCCAGTAATGCAAATAAACCATAACAACGGTACAAGTTTGTTTGTGCTTAGGGGTTGGGGTCCCAGGGAGGTGGGGGTTTGTGAGTTAAGTGCCAATTTCTATCTTTATCCAAGAAATCCAAACTCTTTAGGAATAAGAAACCACATTGACAGTGGGAAACGAGGGAGAAATTGCTGGGGCGGGGGCGGGGAGAGTGTAGCAGAGAGTGGGATCACCCAAGCATAGATCAGCTTTGTAAGTGATGGGAAACCCACCTAGAATTCCCTGAAGCAATGTACATAGCCTCTCTCTTGAATCCTGCACCTTCTCCATCCCTCCCACCTTGACTTGCACCCATTCATCCCTACTCCAGTTCATGACTCTCTCACCCCCTGCACCAGGTACAGACACCATGGCCATCACCAGCCACCAGTCTGTGGGGACAGAGCGGGGCAGGGGAGGCAGCAGGTTCCATTTGAGGGGACTGCAGAACCAACTTCTGCACATGAGAGCGCCTGGAGGAGAGGGTGGAAAGAGGAGGCAGATCTGCCTGGTACTTACATGTCAATGGGATTTACATGTTCCTCCACGCGCCGGGAGAATGTGTGTCATATTGTTTCTTCCCCTTTAAAAAAAATTTCCCAATGAAATCTCCGTGTGGTTTGAGTCCTTGAGGGGCTGGAATTGCTTGTCACACTTCTCCAGAGGTGCCTGCTGCCCTCACCTCTTCTGCTGCTCCAGAGGTGGTGGGACTTTTCTGCCTTCCTCCAGCACTGCCACATCTGCCTGTTCACATTCTCCTATCTGGTCTCCAGGGCTTGCCTGCTGCAGGGACCAGACCCAGCTCCCAGCACTGCTCAGTGGAGCCAGGACTCCCCTCTCCAGCTCTCCATCCGCTGAAGTGGGGGCTTGGAGGACAGGGTTAGGTAGATCAAGCGTGTCAGTTACTCCCGGGAACGATCCCACCAGCCAATCAGCATAGACTTGGGGGGGTGGGGGGAAGAGAGCGAGCATGAGAGAGAGAGAGAGAGAATGAATGGTAGCAGAGGGAGAACGGGGAGAAGGAAAAGAGGGGAGTGCCAGAGTGATTGTGATGGAGAGAGAGAGGGAGCGAGAGAGAGAGAACGAGAATGAGGGGGTGGTTGTGACAGATGGTGACGGAGGGCAAGCCAGAGAGGGAGAAGGAATGAGGGGGAGTGGAGGAGAGTGAAAGCAGGAAAGGAGAGATGCAGAGAGCGGCTGGGTGCTGTGAGAACGCAGTGCAGGGGAGGCAGGCTGGATGGAGCAGGTGGCTGAGCCCTGCTCTCCAGGGGGAGTTTTTTTATAGGGCCGCAGGCAGGGTGAGGGATTACAGATGCGCAGGAGAGGTGTTCCCTGCCCCAAGGAGCTTACAGTCTAGGCAGGCACAATTGGTGCCCCCAGGGCTTCATCATGATCACAGTGCATTGGTATTTATAGGGGTCCTGGGGGGGGCACGAACCCCAACTTCCACTGCACCCTTCTCCCCTCTTCTGTCCCACAAGCATCTCCAATAGGACAAGGGAGAGTGAATGGGGGAGTAGGGATCTTTCTGTCTCTACCACCTACCTAGCTGAGGCCATTTCCCTGCTGGAGCTCTCCTAGGGAAGGAGAGCCCCCCCCCCCCCCCCCGTCCTCTGCCCATTGCCTCACCTCTGCGAACAGGTGATCTGATCTCGGGCACAGAAAGGGATTGGCTCCAAGGGGAGAAATCCAGCCCCCTCTGCAAACACATCCCTCTGGATAAAAACAATAACTCCACATTGCCAAGCATTGTTCCTGCTGTGGTCCTCCCACTAACTGCTTCTCTTGCCCCAGCTCCCTTCCTCACCTCCTTCACGAGAGTGATTTCTGTTTGTTTCCTATTCCTCTCTGGGGGCGCATTTCCCTCTCACTCAGCCTTTGAGATCCTGCTGGTTGCCACTTCCCACCTTCAGTATTTGAGCTCCTAGGGCCAAATTCGGACCTGATACGAATGAGTGAAAGTGCAACTCCATCGACTGAACATAGAATCAGAGAAATGTGGGGCTGGAGGGGACCTTGAGACATCATCGACTCCAGCCCCCTGCGCTGAGGCAGGGCCAAGTAAGCCTAGACCATCCCTGACAGGTGTTTGTCCAGCCTGCTCTTAAAAACCTCCAGTGATGGGGATTCCACAACCTCCCTTGGAAGCCTGTTCCAGAGCCTAACAACCCTTGTAGTTAGCAAGTTTTTCCAGATATCTAACCTAAATCTCCCTGGCTGCAGATTAAGCCCATTACTTCTTGTCCTGCCTTGAGTGAACATGGAAAACAATTGATCACCATCCTCTGTATAACAGCCCTTAACTTATCTGAAGACTGTTATCAGGTCCCCCCTCAGTCTTCTTTTCTCAAGACTAAACATGCCCAGTTTTTCCAACCTTTCCTCATAGGACAGGGTTTCTAAACCTATCCTCTTTGTTGCTCTCCTCTGGACTCTCTCCAATTTGTCCACATCTTTCCTAAAGTGTGGCGCCCAGAACTCAGTTCTCCAGCTGAGGCCTCACCCGTACAGAATGGAGGACAGTTACCTCTCATGTTTTAACGTACAACATTCCTGTTAATACACCCCAGAGTGATATTAGCCTTTTTTTGCAACTGCATCACACTGCTGACTCATATTTAATTTGTGATCCACTATAACCCCAGATCCCTTTCTGCAGTACTACCGCCTAGCCCGTTAATCCCCATTTTGTAGTTGTGCATTTGATCTTCCCTTCCTATGTGTAGTATTTGGCACTTGTCTTCATTGAATTTCAGCTTGATTTCAGACCAATTCTCCAATTTGACAAGGGCATTTTGAATTCTAATCCTATCCTGCAAAGTGCTTGCAACCCCTCCCAGCTTGCTTGCAGCCTACAGACTGGGATCCCAGTTCTGGGCGCTGCTGGAACCTTTTTGTGTCAGCTGAGCTGCAATAAAAGGACTGCAATGCTGGCTTAGGCCTGGTTTACACTTAAAATGTAGCTCAACACAGCTATGTCGCTCAGGGGGGGTGAAAAAGTCACTGTTTAATTTATTGATTAGTTCCCAAACCTCCTCTGTCAACACCTCAGTCTGGGACGGGGCCTCAGATTTTAAGCCACTCTTATGATTTTGGGGAGCCTGACTCATGAGTTTTGAAAGCTTGGGGTTGGCAATAGATTCTGGCATTTACACCCCCCATACATATGCGTGTGTAGGGAACCTGAGACCAGACTCCATTGTGTTGTGCCTACAGCACTCACACCAGCTGTGAATTGGGCTCAGGCACCTCATCTCACAGTGCAGGTATCTGCGGAACCCACTGCCCCAGAACGTTATCGGGGTTAATGCATGAAACATCGTGCCACAGGCTGTCTCTGAGGTGAGCCTGGCCTCTCTGAGCTACCCCTGAAGTTAACCTGTGGAACTCACCACCACCCATGGAATTTTCTGTTACAGGCCCTAGCCGACATTAACCTGTGAAACTCTTTGAAGCAAGGTAGAACCTGTGGAGCTCAGATGCAGGCTTGTTGCAGAGTGGAAAGCTGGTTCAATCCAGTCCTCCTGCCCTTTCCTGTTACTGCCTCTGGATTTTTCTTTACCATTTGCTTTGTCCTGAACCCTCCTCCAGCTCGTGAGGCTCCTGGTAGTGGGGGTGGGGAGAAGGGAAGCCTGGGTGAGCCCGGATCTGCAGTGCTCAGGAGAAGTATGCTCTGGAATCTGCCCTAGCAGCCATCATGTAATGTTGCTTTCCCTATTCTTAGCAGCAGCCAAGGCTCCTGGCCCCCCTGCAGTGAAACAGTCATCCAGGTGCCGGCAGCTGCAGATTCCATCGCCCTGCTGGGGCAGCTCTCATCTGTTTGATTTCAGCAGATCCGTGGGCTATTTGCCTTGGTTGGTGACTCATTCCCGCCCCGCCTTCCTGCTTACCTCGCTGTGTGTCTGGCTATGTAAGTGAGTGCCAATGTATGTATAGGTGTGTGTATGGGTGTAGGCATAAGTGACGGTGTCTACAGGCCCCTTGGGGAAAGTATGCAAGCTCTGACAGACCGTATTAGCAGGCGCTCTAGAGGCTCCATAAGTTCAGGTTGTCCTAGGCTCCTTTCCTGTGCCCCTCACAACAGACTTGCTGGCCTTACCTTTCCACTGCCTTTGGGGAAGAGGCTTGCCTGGGCTCTGTCAGGCGAGGCCCTTTGGCTGGTAGGTCCCTGAGGAGAGGAGACTTTCTCCCACAGACACAGGCAGATGTGATGGAAGGTTAGCAATAGCTAAGTGCAGGCACCTACCAGCTCAGCCTGAGATAGGAGGCCGCTCCCTTTCAGCTGACCCTGCCTTCAGAACCCCCCCGCCACCGTCCCCAGCTTGAATCTCCGCTGCGATGACGCCCAGCCAGTCTGACGGCTGCAGGAGGGATTCAGCTGGTTGGCTGCGGTCCCTCCGAGTGGCCAGAGATGCCACAGCCAGCATGGTGCAGCCACAGCATCAAACCCGGACAGCCAAGCTTGCAGCGAAGTGCCAGAGAAGGGACACAAGACACTGATGTCAGGAAGGTACAGTTGGTTTATTGACTCTCATTCCCTATACAGAAATTGACAGGAGGAGGGAGGGAGGTTGTGCAAATGGACAAACGAGTGCTACAGATCCATATTGGTCCTTCTAGGCAGCAGAAACAAACAAGCGCTGTGACCACCAGAGGTACCAAGGTCCAAGACGCTGACACCTTCAACCCCTGTTGCATCGGCAGAGCCTGGTGTCGGGAGCGAGCTGAGGGCTGGGGCTGGAATCTGTGTCCAGAACAAGAGGAGGCAGGTTGTGAAGCCAGCTCGTACCCTTCCACCCTCCTTCCCCACCTCATCCATCCCTCCCATTCCAGCCCAGCTGTGGTGTGAGGAGAGAAGAGAGCCTTTTCTCTCCCTCACCTGGCCCTGATCAGCTCTGTCTCCTGTCCCTGGCCACTCTGTGCCTCTCTCCTGCCTCCCTGCGGCCTTATGCGGAGGGCGGGGGAAGAGCAGGGGAAGCAATGTGAAGGGGGAGGAGAGGCAGCAGCTGCCTGGTAATGGGCAGCCACAAAGCAGCCCCTAGTGGCCAAGCAGGAAAAATGCAGGGGGAGGGGCTTTTTTGCAGTTTTCCGTATATGGTGAGTTAATTTTTAAGGGGAGGGGCTTAAACTCCACAACCCCCACAACAGGTCGCCCCTGCCTCCAAGGAAGCACTGAGGTCCCAGGTCAGAGGCAGGTTTTGGGGTCCCATTGGGGGAAGCTGGCGACAGCAGCTTCTCTTCAGGGTAGAGTCAGGAAGTCCAGGAGGAGAGTGGTGTGGCAGGAAGGGGAGTCCTGCAAGGGGTCTTTCTTCAGGGCAGAGGGCTCCCCCCAGGAAGCACCAGGGTCCTTTCAAGGGAGAGAAGGGGCTATCAACAGATTCGAATCCCCTTAGTGCTGATAGACTGGGGTCTGGAGGGGAGGGGAGCCCTTTCTCACCTACCCCTAGAGGAGGCTGCAGCCCCGTTTTTTCGGTCTGGTGGGCTGGGGGCAGAGAACCGCTCGGATTGCCTCATCAAACACTGTTTTCAGGCCACGTTGTGTCAGCGCCGAGCACTCGAGGTATTTCACAGAATCTGCCAGGAGAGAAGACGGCACC